CGACCGACATGGCGACCGACATGTCGACCGACATGTCGGTCGACAGTCGGTCGACAGTCGGTCAATAGTCGGTCGACAGTCGGTCGATAGTGGGTGGATAGTCGGTCGATAGTCGTTCGATAGTCGGAAAATAGTCGGTCGACATGTCGGTCGATATGTCGACTGATATATGTCGGCCGATAGTCGGTCGACATATCGGTAGACAGTCGGTCGATATTTGACCGACACTTGGCCGACACTCGGCCGATGCTTCACCGATACTTCACTGACACTTAACCACTGAAAGTTTATGCCTTCAAATCGAATTTTTCTTCAAATCAAATTTTACAATACCGACACTGCAACAATACACAACCACACGAGCGACGTTCAAACTATATTTACCGATAAAGTTCAGACACTTGACCGATAGACTACCGACACTCGGCCGATAGACCACTGGCACTTGACCGATATTCCACCGACACTTGACCGGTATTCCACCGAGACGCGACACTCCATCTGTCGGTCGACAGTCGGTCGACATATCGAGCGACATGTCGACCGACTATCTTCCGACTATCGACCGACTATCGACCGAATATCGACCGACTGTCGACCGACCTGTCAGTCGCCATGTCGGCCGACACTACCTATGGTAAAATTGATCCCATTAATGGGGGAAAATGTGATAACGGTTTAGTCTTGTTTGGACCTGTTTCGCTTTCATTCGAAATTTCCAACCTTGCTTCAATGGTCTCTACTTTTCCCTTCTTACCCCACCTTCCTGGGGCAGCGGTGTTAAATGTCTTTATTATTCCAGTGTTACATCATTTCGGCATATTAAGGAATAAGGCGCGCAAAGTTTTTGACAGTACTTTACACTGTGTGAGAAGAAAAAAAAATACGGACGGAGAGCACAGCAACAAATTGGAAGAACTAAGCGATCTAAACTTTGATTTGTCTATGTTCTTTAGGCTTCAATTTTTGGTCAACAAAAAATTTCGGTAAAAAAAAGATTGAGTTTTTTCTTGGGTTATATCAAGGCAAGTCTGTGTTGTTTCGTCTTCAGCGCGTGTCTGATACGATCCATAAGAATCTTTGATGAAGCCGAAAAATTTTTAAAAAATTGCTAATATGGTAATAATAAATCCTATATTCAATGTTTTGAAATATAATACAAGCGAATATTATCCTAATTGCTCAATTTTTGCTCGCCCCGTTACCATGATGACACTATAAAATTCGCATATATATTCGCGCTTTTTTAATCATTTATTTAATCATCCAATGATAATAGGATGTATTTATAGACTTGAAGGAATACATTCTTAACAGATGGCGACTAATCACTGTAGTTAAGGATGGTTACTCTTAAAACTTAAAAAGGGTGTAGAATTTGGCGTTCAGCAAAGAGAATATCATCTTTGTCTGGAAGATTCAGCTACTAATATACAGTGGAATCCCGATTTCTCGAACCTCCAGGGGAAACGCAAATTCGTTCGAGAAATCGGGAGTTCGAGAGATCGGGGGTGAAATTACAAGTGAAGCAAATCCAAGGGAAACAAAGTTTGGTTCGAGATATCGGGAGGTTCGAGAAACCGAGAGTTCGAGAAATCGGGATTCCACTGTATCATATTTCCCAAATATTATTCTTCGTAACCACATGACTCCTTCCGGCGGAAATGGAAAATAGTTAGTGCCATATACACGTGTTGCATGTGCATATTCAAATCTTAAAAAGTCATTTTATTACTCCAACCGTTTGACTAAAACTGGCAATTTTATTTTCCTTCATACTAAGTAATTTAGACCTGTTATTCGATATTATACCCAATGATTCTGAGAGGCTGTTATTTTAATAGTGAAACTATGTTTAGGCAGGCCGTGATAAATCGTATTTATTTTCAAAACTGTTCCACTCGCATGAATTAAATGATCTTCAAAAAATAATCAAACAAAGGGAATTTTGGGTGAGTAGTCTTCCAAACTTACTTTAGAATGATGAGGTCCAAGAAATAGCTCTTTCACATCATTCAATTTAAGCCATTCATTGTCTTCATAAAGCGCCTTTTCAAAAGGGAAAGATAAATGTATCGTTGTCATAAATTATCATACAAATCTGCTTTCTTAATCTTTGCGCTTACATCATGCAGCATTAAAATTATTTAGCAGATTTTTGATCGGGGTATGAAATCAAACCTAAATGCGTGAAGGAAAAAATTCAGATAGCTATGCTCGTTATATTTCTGTCTGCCACAATTGCGAAGAAAGTTCTTCCGTCGACATCCCGCGGTCGGTTTTGAATCGAAATCCCTCATGCATTCGAAAAGCAAAAGAGCGTCACGTTCTTAACACTCACTTATGCAAATATAAGCGCTGAATCACTCAACCATAAGTAATGCGGTAGAAATTGCGCCTTTTGCATTTGTTTAACTGTATTGGAGCGTTGTTTGGAGTGGACAGCCAACATTTCTAAGTCGGTGTGAGAAAACATGAAGAGAACGGCTTGTTTGCGCTGAAATTCATTCGAAGAAAAAAGAGAGAGGAAATATTACGAGGAGAGCATTTTTTCTCTCTTCCCGCCAAGAATATAGACAGAATGAAAGGGATAAAAATCATATTGTTGCTCGCGTTGGTTGAATTGTACCATGGCAGTGAGATTCCTTGGCGTAAACACAACCACAGATATGATTACCCTTTAGACGACCAAGCTTGCTCTCAAAATCAACCAAGTTGCCAGGAATGTTTGTCTAAAGAAGGAAGTTGTGAATGGTGCAGTGATGGATCACTTACAAGTCAGTGTGTGTCGCAAGGAAGCGAAACTTGTCCGCGCAAATACAGACAGACAGTATGCAATGCTCAAACAGCGGACAGCAGTAAAAGAGGGTCAGTTATGGCGTACTATGATAAATCTCTGGATGAACTCAGTGTCGTAGACACTGTTCTGGCAGATGATTCGGCAGCCGGGAATAGCAGTGTGGTGACAATTAACGCCACCGCGCTCTGCGGCAGCCTTGGAGGTTGTGGGAACTGTACTGCGAAGGAGTTTTGCGTCTGGTGCCAGTCTAAACAAACCTGCCAAGTGTATTACAATTCTTCAACAGCAGAGCAGTCTTGCCCCAAGGAGAAAACAGCGTACAAAGGCCAATGTATTTATCCAAGTAAGTTTGTATATGAGGTATCGCCCTATAAGTAAGTAGATATCTTTCGTGTTACATGGTTGGGTGACTTCCAAAGGAATTCCTCGCCTTTTTTCGATGGGATATTCAAGGGAGTATTTCATAACGTAAGATGGTCTTTTTGACTCAGAGTAGCTAAGTGAAGAGTTTCTTAGGAAAGATAAACATTTCTTTAAGAAGATAGCTTAAACTGTACTTTTACAGCGACATTTCTCATATTCATTTATGCATGAAAGGTAACTAGAACTACCAAAGTGACAATTATGCAAAAACAAGGAAAGCGCTTTGTGTCGTCAAACCAAAAAGAAAGATATGCCCATGGAAAAGTATCTAACGCCTGTTCCATACTACCTTGAATGCCAAGGAATGTTTTCGGGCAGTGATAAACTTAACGCGCAACTTGTGTGTTACATGTACTGAATTTTCGCAGCTAAGCAACTATGGAGATGAACAAGAGGCAATGAAACTTGCATAATTAGAAACTTCGTGTGAAATTTGCCTTTACATTCGACAACTGCTTCAATAGAAATCGAAGCGTTTTTATGGCATCTATGGCACAACACAACCTCTAGACATTTCTAGACATCGCCTCAACGTTAAAATATTGAACAAGAAGGGCAACAGGGCTTATATTTTGCTATAAAAGAAACAAAACCCTTGTAGTTGGTATTTAAATTGATGAATATTCCATGCGCCAAAGGATTAATTACTTTTCAAGTCCTTTAAACATTTTTCATGAGGTGTTGGAAGTTTCGAGAAAACTACCAACCAAAACTGAAAACCTATCGATTATCCTCCACGAACTGAAAACTATATCATTTTATCGAAATTCGACCCGAAGACACTGTTATTCACATGCAAATATTCTGAAAGTTTTTACCATAACCTTTCAAAATAACATTCAAGTGGTGCTTGTTAAGAGTCGCCTACTGTTCGAAAAAGCTCTTCGTGGGTATAATCTACTCAATTGAGAGCTTCAGCCTCTTCAAACTTATTCCATGTATTAAAAATCAAACCATTTTATCTTTGGTCATCAAGCTCTTCGCAAGTTAAATTTGCCCTAAATGTTTTTCAAATATTCCCCTGGGAAAACTAATTGAGTAACTGGAATACTGGAATTCATTTTGTACCGTTGGTTTAGTGCACCGCTTCAAAATTAGCATGCCTTATTGAACATAAAATATTTTCATAATATGTGCGTTGGGGAAATTGCTTTACATTTCTTTTACAAGTTGATTTTTTATTTGAAAATGTTCTCTGTTGGTATTTGCGAACTGAGTACCCATTCGCTCTGACGTAATGCTAACGCTGAAGCCGTCAGCTTTAGAAGCTTTTTACGATAGGCTCTGGCGAAGATGTCAGAGCTCTGACGAAGGGCCAACGCTCGAAACCGCGTCAGCTTTTTAACTCTTTACGGTGGCCAATTTACGATTTCAACTTAGTTGATATAACCAAATCAACTATAGGGATAATTTACTTAATTTTGGAGACGGGCTCAAATAGCGCTATGAATCTTCTTCATAATTACTTACAGGAGAAGAATTCCACGCAAATAGAGCGCACAACTCATGATATCAAATAAGAGCGATGTCACTTATGATGGAATGTTCACGATAAAGGGCCCATCGTTTGTCTCGGTTTAATTATCTCGTTATCGGAAATTTGGGGCAACCCTCCCATTTCCAGAATGGTAGAATAGAACAAAAAAAGGGAAACTTCTAAGGAATTCAATCTAATCTTGTTAGTATACGTGACAAAGCCAATAGGTTAATATTTTTTAATCTTTCGAAGATTCAGTCGCACTTAAAACAAATTAACAGCTCAATGCTAGATGACCTTGCTACTGAAAAGCCTTACAGTAAATCACATCGATGGCCGTGAGAAATCAAGAAGGAACGAGAAGGCCTTGGAGAATTGGTTCAATAAGATGTCGCTGTTCCTTGTGCTTATTAATATTCAGTTAAGAAGAAGAAGAAGGAAGAGAATAGAAAAATAGCTGGGTGCGATTTGTATATAAACAAAATCAAAAGACAAAAAACACACACGTATGAGCTCTTAACTCCTTTACTACCAGAAGGGATTAACATGTAACTTCTCCCTATAATATCCATACATTATCCCGCAAACAGGTAATGAGAATACTTAAACATATCAGGTGGAGGATATCTCGGTCTAACAAAAAATTCTCCTAACTAATTTACATGGAAGTATGTAGCAATTAGAGGGGAGAGTTAACAATCAGATCTCGGCAGTTAAAGACTTAAAGGGAAGAGTAGTTACAAATATCCTATCTCTTTTCTTTTCTCTATTTCAGTTGGTGTAATTCCCTGCCACGAACGGAGAGGATCATGTAAAAGATGTCTTAATCAAGATGCCTTGTGCTACTGGTGCTCCTCAACGGAAAAATGTGCACGGTTTCCCTCGGTTAGTTTTGAACCAGACGATTGTCCCAAAGAAGATTGGCACAACAATAAATGCCCGACAGCAAATGATCTTTTATGGGTTCTTCTTCCGATAATGGCCATAATTCTCATACCGATCATTGTTTACCTCATAATATGGTTGATATGTTGCTGTATGCGAGCGGCCGGATACGAGCCCCTGGAGCCCACGGAACCGTCCAAGAAGAAACACCCCAAAGGTATACGACTGAAGCCCGGGTCCCCTTCTAACAAGACAGACGAACTGAGAAGGAAATATGATCTCAGTAATCCATAGATCTATGTTTTAACCCTTGACACGCTAACATCAGTATCAATTTTATCCGCATTTCATTTTTGTACTGACAAGAAGAATTCGTTTAACAATCAAAGCTTCTGAGGTTGGTGATCTTTTCCTTTATTCTGATGATCCTAATGAATGATTTCGCAGTATTACTGTAAAGATAAATGAAATAATGATAACCCTTAGGGTTTGGAGGGTTGAATAAGCGCCTTTTAAAAGTTCCAGTACTTACTAACGATTCTAGAAACAGCTATGACAAGTGGGAAATGTTTCCATGGGGGGTTTATTAAGAAAAGCTCAGCAACTGAGTCGACTGCGAAAGTGGCAGGTTTATCATAGGGTTGTTTTGGTCTAGTTTCATATCAAGTCGTTCTTACGGTAAAAATTGAGTAGCACGAGGCGTGCGAGGTCCTTACCTCACACTTAACAAACAAAAAGATAAACCTCGGTAATTTGCAAGCTTCGAATTGAACTCAAATTCAGACAAACAAATTCACTTTTATATGTTGACTGGTTGGTTAAACAACTTCAATATGTCATGCAATCCACGTACTATTCCAAAAACAACTCCTGTTTAATTCACGAAAGATCAACGTACAGCTCGTTGTTAATGCAAAAAGCGAAAGTATCAAAGGCAACCATATCTTACAATTTGTAAGTAAAGCCGGGCGTTATTGCAGAGGGCTACATTTGACAGTAGTAAAAACACTGATTTTCTTGTGGCCCTGTGACTGCGTTAGAATGATAGAGTGTAGTTTTGCAATAATCATTTTTTACAGTAATTTTTATGGGAAGTTTTTTTTTTGGGGGGGGGGGTTGGGCACATCATTTGTAATAATGATTGGTTGGTTACATAGCAATTTATACTGTTTCCTCTCCACCATAAAGGCCGTTGTCGGCCGGCCTTCACCGTAAATTTACTTCGTTGACGTTCAAGTTAGAGTGTCTCGCGACCAATCAGAACTAGATAACCGTGGCGAAACATGGAAGCTTTGGACTAAATCAAGTTCTAAGAAAAACCCGTTGTAAAGCTTCGATAACTCATGTTAGGCACTCGGATATACCTGTTGTACTTTACTGTGCATTTATAATAAAAAAGTACGTCTGCAATTATATAATTATAGTAAAGAATTTAAATTTAATGAGAAAAAGAAGGAAGCAGCTATTAGTTTTTTTCGATTCGTTGAACTCATGTCTCATGCTAGCTGAATCAACTTCTTCGAGAGAAGCGCAATGCTTAACGAGGCTCTTGAGTAAAGGTTTTTACATCATTTGGTAAACGCGAAAACAAATTTAGTTACAGTAGTATTATAGTCGATACGTAGACAAGTTGAAAAACATAAGAGGGAGCAGTGGAATTTCCCTCTGCTGTAATCGAGTTTACCACAACTGCCCTGCGTTCTCTCAATTTTCTTATCATCATAGATGTTATAGTCACAAACAGTTTTGCTTCAAAATGGCTTTTCACCAAAGCCAGATTGGATTTTTTTGCGATAAAAATGGATTATTGTAATTGAAATCTCTCGGGTAACTCATTTATCAATCATTTCGGCAGCGTTATCACGCTAACGGAGCAAGAGGGTCGGTTTTCAATTTGGGAAATGATAAGTACTTGTTGACTGAATGGAAGGGCCGGACGAGAAAATATTTGGCTTGAGGTCAGGAAGCAGAGACTCAACACAGCGTCGTGTTAAACTCTTTGGAAATTATTTGAAACTAAATGACACATGGTGATGAACGTGCGGAAAAAACAAGAAGAACACCACCCACGAGATGGCCATGATCCTTTAGAAAATGATTGGTATTGAAGCAAAAGGTATATCAGTGGAACCATGTATTTTATTCTGCCGTACACAACTTCTCAAAAGGTCGCCATTTCGTCCTAATGAATCGCCAATGCGTTAAATTATGAAGATTTTATTCTTATTAACATCTCACATTTTAGTCCACTGTTAGAAGCCATGCTCCATTTTTTGTAAACAACGAAATAAGGAAAATATGACGTCTTGACACGATCGATCTACTCTTGATTCTACTCCTTCTTTGTCGCTGTTTGGAAGAAACACTAACGAAAATAAAGAAAAGAGGGAAATTGAATTAACAAATGTAATCCACAAAACACCTAAACCTGCCTTCTCTTAACAACTAGGCGCAATCACAAGCCGCCATTCGGAAAATTATCCCGCACTTCCTCTTTGGGGAGGGGAGGGAGGGGGGATAAAAGACCGAACCCTTGAAAACAGCAAAAATCAATCCTACTTGTCCACTAGTGCAATAGAGTACGAGGGTTCCCGTTAATCTTTTAACCAATCAGATTCTAACTTAAAGCGAAGCGCGACTTGGTCCACCCGCGTTTTCCCGCGCTTTATGTACCCTGCTCTGTTTCACTGAGTTCTCACTGGATCCTTATGATTTTTCTCTGTGCTGATTGGTCGTCATAATTACTCGCGTGCCTTGCCACACTCATACTCATTCTTATCATATCACATACCTACAACACACTAAGAATGCTGTTAGCCAGACTGCAACTCAGTCCGGTTCCATCAGGCTCCACGTTCAGCGCTGTCACCATTCCATCTTCAATCACCATCACATATCTCTTTGATCGAACACTTCCAAGAAATGGCCTCGCGTCAAGTTCCATATCAACAGCCTACAGTAATTGAAGGGAAATCACGAGATGAGTAGTTTTGTAAGTATTCTTTTTTTTTTTTTTTTTCATTTTAAAACTTCAAAGAGTGGAAAATGTTCCAGCCTGCTGAACTTTAAACCTAAAGCTCCAGGAATAGAACACAGGTCACAGCGGTGGGAGGTGAGGGCCCTCAGCACCACAGCATCCCCACTCCGTCTTATATGAGCAGTTGATGATTAATCAATTCTCCGAATCCTTACACGCGACCTTTGACCCTGAGCCTGTTGTTGAACTTCACGACGAAGTGAACAATAGCATAAAAAGAAGAAAGAGCCTTCAAGAACACAACCAACTGAACTTTCTCAAACGGTTTGACTGACAAAAATCAAAAAAAAAAAAAAAATCGCACCTTTGTGAATTCCCCTTGCGTGTCGGCCAACATTCGGATCTGAAAACAAAAAAAAAAACCACCCAGCCGTGGAAGAACTTATAAACAATGGCATACATGAAGGATTAAAGACACAAGGAATTACAAAATGGCAAAAATAAGCAATACAATACAATACAAGGAAACCAATCTGTTCCATCATTAATAAACTTTCAAAACTTCTTCATGAGAAACACCCACTGGAGGACACAGATCTTGAGGTCACACAAATCCTGAGAGGTAAGGATCCTCCACACTCACAAGTGAAAAGGATGTTGACATCAATGTCTTAGTTCTACAGTATAAGGTGGGTCCAAGAGAGGGTCCACCACTGATTTGCTCTTTGTCCATTATGGTTACAGTGTATTCACCGACACTATCTGTGCATGTACCTTGCCTTCACATTTGTGTGCTTCTCCCCAAGCTGCCATCACAAATGGATCATTTACTGAGATACAAGCAACAACTTCCACTCCCTTTTCCTACAAGAAAAAAGCCTTCTTAGACTCAGACACTTTAGTTGAAAATCCCTGTACAGGAAAGAAGAACCCTCTAAAAATTTACTTGGCTCCCAACCTGTGGCTCTGAAGCTCGGTTAGGAGGCCCACATTAGAATCCTGTTGAAGCCTTATTTTTTTCTCTGCAATTGTTAAAATTGCAGTTCTTCTGGGAGGATCATTTCTTCGTTTGACATTAACTTGACACTGTGTAGTAAAACATTATGTACAATGGCTCTATGTATGAAAATCAGGTTGTCAGTTAAATAATTTACCTCAAAAAAGGGATAACAAATAAAAAATACAAAAACAGCCAATGTTTGGCTGTGTAGTCGCGTGATGCGGTTCCAGTCAATACCCACTAATTGACCCTTGCTCACCATAGAGTCTCCTGTAGCTGAGTGGTTAGAGCATCCGACTAGATTTCGGAGGGTCGTGGATTCAAATCCCATCTGGAAACTCGATTTTTCTCTTATATTAAAATTGTTTATTTCATCTTTGCAAGAACAGCCAAGGTCAAAAATATATCCAATCTATCTCTGAGAATTTATCTGTTTGTTTATTTATTTATCAAATTACTTCAAGTTCATAACCTAAAATATTAACCGACTGTTTCAGATACCAACGTTGCACAGATTGTAACTTAGAGTGAGTTGTTGCAATTTCAGACTGTAAATTTGCATTTTCATCATGACCATTTTTTCCCTGTCTGTTAATAACAATTCTTGTCTATTTCAGTTTATGGAGAAACTAATAAAAAAACAAAAACTAAAAATCTTGCTAGCACTTGCTAGGGGTTCAATCTTCATGGCAGACTCAGATGGTGTCCTTGTTCTTGGTAAAATGACTTGTTAAACTCTCTTTCCAGTGTCTTTTTTCTATCAATTTTCAAATTTCAAATGCAAAGGCCTGTCCATTGTTACTAAGATTCTTAGATTCACGATTTAAGCAAAGTTGGACAGGAGACCAGACTAGGTTTACACTAGAGGAGAGTTTTCCGGATTCGTAAATGTTTCCGGATTCATCAATTTTGGAGTATTCGGATTCGTAGGCGTTTACACTGAAAGGATATTCGGATTCCTGACCGTTTACACACAACGACAACTCCGGGAACATTCGAAATGGAATGGTTACCAAGCCCAGTGTTGTTTCGTCGTTCGATCGACAAAGTGAAAATGCCTCCCCCAAAAAAGGCTAGAGTAGATCCAGATGCCACTGAGGCAAATTTGAGTTGGACAGATGCCAAGCAGTCTACGTCGTCGGCGATTAAGTGTGGCTGACGTTAAACTTCCTTGCAATAATAATTTGCGTTTCTTCAGAAATACTGCGGTACACATGATAAAATTTATCGCCTGAACCTGCAACAAGATTAGGCAACCGGAGACCGCCAGCAATGTTAGCACCAGATCCATTTTGGTTTCACCGCAAACTCAAAAGATTGCAGGTGGAAATAATATCCGGATTCGAGAAAAAAAGCGGTTACACGACAAAACTTTCCGGATTCAAAAGTTATCGGATTCAAAGTTCCCACTTTAAATTCCGGATTCAAAATCTCCGGAGACACGACCAAACTGGGAAGTTTTCATTTCGGATTCGTCCACTTTCGTGTAAACGGCAGAATGAATCCGGTACTAAAACGTTTCGGATTCATCACGAATCCGGAACAATTTCCTCTAGTGTAAACCTAGTCTAAATCACCACCATTTTGAGAATAAAACACTAATATGTATGCCTTCTCCTAGTTTTTTTTTTCTTTTTTTTTAAGGGTTGGATACCACATTACCAATGCGTCGGTAAGATTGTCCGCATTAGAAACAGAACTCTAAATTGCCACAATTTGAGGAAGAAACACTACTAAACAAGCCCAAACAAAGTCACCAAGACACTACCAAAAAGGCCCAAACAAAGTCACCGACACACCACCGACACATTATTCTTGTAGGTTAGGGGATAAACATTGGCTTATGCATTGGTAGGATCGGATTCTTTACCTTTACCGGAGAATATGCATACTGAAGTTACGACGTAAATCACTACATAAATCAATGTATTTTCAGCAATAGACTGTACTTTCGAAATTGAGAAAAAGATCTTACCCCAGCTGGTTAGTTAACAATCATTTAATCATAATTCTTATAAACACCACAGGATGCTGAGAAAACACCGGAAATTTTTTTTACACCGTCTGCGGACTCTGATTCATTTACAAACTTTAAAAGAATGCCGCCAACATCCCACATGACTCATAATATCAATTGAATTAATACAGGGGTTTCATTAATGTTTTCAGCTGGAGAACAAATGGTTTTGACGGGCAGGAAAAACTGTTTGAACTGAACTTCTTTATGCAGTAAAAGGTTTGAACCCGGGGTAACGTGAAAGTGTAGTGTGATTGTCTGGGTGAGTGTAGTCCTGAGAAGGACTGTTGTCGGTGGTAGTGACTGACGTTTCAACAACCTGTGCGGAAGTCATCAACAGAGTCAAGACACTTGACTCTGTTGATGACTTCCGCACAGGTTGTTGAAACGTCAGTCACTACCACCGACAACAGTCCTTCTCAGGACTACACTCACCCAGACAATCACACTACACTTTCACGTTACCCCGGGTTCAAACCGTTTACTGCATAAAGAAGTTCAGTTCAAAAAGTTTTTCCTGCCCGTAAAAACCATTTGTTCTCCCGCTGAAAACATTAATGAAACCCCTGTATTAATTCAATTGGTGTTATGAGTCATGTGGGATGTTGGCGGCATTCTTTTAAAGTTTGTAAATGAATCAGAGTCCGCAGACGATGTAAAAAAAATTTCCGGTGTTTTCTCAGCATCCTGTGGTGTTTATAAGAATTATGATTGAATGATTGTTAACTAACCAGCTGGGGTAAGATCTTTTTCTCAATTTCGAAAGTACAGTCTATTGCTGAAAATACATTGATTTATGTAGTGATTTACGTCGTAACTTCAGTATGCATATT